CAATGAAGCATTTGTGTTCATTTTCTTCTATTTTATCTTTGGAATTCTACTATTTAGGTCACTATCTGTTGCTTCCAGCTATTCTTCCCTGACAAATTGTAGCTCTTTTTAGGCTTAAAAAGATATAATCAATGAATTCATCTATGTTATTCCTCTGGGTATAAAGATCTAGATGTAATAAGTGGTACACAGTATAAGATTACGTTGCTATTCCTGAACTGCACCCACAAGATTAATTGTGCCTTATAGGCCAAAATTTGAAGAGCTGCTGAATGCTGGCCTCTGAAAATCTGATACAACTAATGCAATAAAAACCCAATATTGCTAAATTTCTCAAATGCTTTAAACATGGTCCCTCACCAGCATGAACTGGAAGGGTGAGAATGGATGTATGTATATTCCACAACGCATAATTTTAGATACAGTTAAGGAGAATAATGCTGAAAGGATCCTTTACCTGATCATATCTGCCTTCCCTAAAAGAAAAAAAAATCCACCGCAAGTTTTACTTGAAAACGATAATCCTTGGGTTTTAGCGAGTAACATCACTCATTGTGAAATGCATCAATATCTGTGGAATACAAATTATACTCAGGTATGGGGACATAGAGGAATTCCATTTACATTTAAACTTAGGCTCACTGATTGCTCTGCTCATGTAAAAAATTACTGTGCTCTGAATGAAACGAAGATGAGTGCTTAAGCAAACAGTCATAAATTAATTTATAATGAAACATGACAGCCATAATTTAATTTAGAATGTATTTAAGATTGTTGTTACTATTTGTATAGGTCTTCTTTGCCTGGAGGAAGATGTGGCTTCATAGTGAAATGTCAGCTATTGAAATACCAAACTTCTTACGCGTACATGTGCATTAATTAATTAAAATGATGTAGATACTTTCCTAATGAAGATCTGTTGTCTACTGCAAGTAGTCAGACAAAAGACTGCGTGATTGAGGCACATGCAATATCAGTAGATCACCCAGAACTTACCGGGAAGCACGAGGGATGCTGTGCATAACCTGCAAAACCTGTGGGGTCGCGGGGCTGCCGCTCAACTTCCCTCCTCAGTGGCGAGGAGAGGGACCCTAAGAGGAGAGCAGGGAGCAGGGCTGCAGCTTTTGCACGTCTCGTCTGCTCTCCGAAGCTGTTGGCTGGCCACGCACAGCACAGCGGCTGTCTAGACCCAGCACCGCATCCCGAAAATAGCTGTTAGGCAGATGGCTGCTTTTGTTGGCGTCGAGCTAAGCGCATCTGAAACGTAGTTCAGGCACCTAACGTCCGAGCTGCCCTCTCTGCGTCACCGCCTGCCCCGAGAGCACCCGAAATGCCTGTACCTATGCCCCTGGGGTTAGGAGGCACCAAGCCACCTCTGGCTGCCTCTCGCCCCTGCTGCGGTGCTGGCTTTAATACCCCGATGTTGGAGAAACTCCTCATGTCGGCACCCCTGCGACCGTCGGTATGCGGCCCTCTCTGCTGCGCTGGGCCCGTGGCCAGCACCCGGCTGATGCCGGTGTAGTAGGAGGAGGCGAAGGGCAAGTGTGGCACTCGCAAGAAACAAGCTCTGTGGTGTGTACCCTTTAAAGATATATATAGCTAGGCAGTTTATTTTTCACTAGATTTCTTCTAAGTCTTTTGGATGTTTCTGACCAACCAATATGAATATATATATATATGTATTTTGAAAGACAAAAATTCCTACCTGGTGGAATTTTACTTTTGATGTTGGGGAGGTTGTTCTTCTTTGTAACTTTCTACGCCCTAATGAATCTTCTGCCTGCATTGACTGCACCAATGAAACTACATGGGGTTGAAGTATTTCTCTAAGCTTCTCACTTCTATCAAATTTGCTTAATAAAAATGGTATGCATGGGAATGGTTTAATTTTAACGCAAGAAATTATTTTCATTGCTAATAGTGTCAAGTCACAAAAAGAAGTCAGTCTATTCAGTTTGTCAGCTGAGAGATGGTACATGGTAGGGCATTTGAGGATAGCCGGGCTGTGACCAAAAAAATACTAGTAGTTTGTCTCGACGTCAGTTAAGAAACCCTTATCCCAAGAACTTGCGATTTCTATTTGGAAAGTGATGTTTAAGAAAAAGCAAATTATAGGCCTTGAAGTATAATATCTATGCTAAAAATAGGTATTTATGAAAAGTAAAATAAAAAACAAAGCCCCTCTGTTATGATGAGTTTATTAGGGGAGGGCAACGGATGCATTTGCCGTAAACTGTCAAAATTGCTGTGTTTCACACTGATCAGCAAATAGATTCTTTAGATACGGTTAAGCAGCACATAGGAAGTACTTGGGTAAGCAAGTGACAGTAATTGGTCGAAAAGTAGTTTGTTTGGAAAGTTTGCAGAGTCCCTTCCACACCCCTCGTGGCAACAGAATTCCCCCTGTCACACACTGAGCTCTTCTTTTACAGCTCAGGAGACGAGAGGGTTGGTTAGACACTCGTCTTAAAGGATGAGCCGGTATATTCTTACCCTGCTCTCAGGGGGAGACCAGTGGCGGGATTTTAGGCGGGCAGCTCCAGGGCCTTTGTGTCCTGCGTGCTGAGAAATCAGCATCCCCTGGAAGGGCAGGAAGCTAGTTTTAAGCTTTGAGTGTGCTCAGGGACATAGTGGCAAGCATTCAGGATGTACCATTTTGTATGCCAAGCTTGGGTAGCCATCATGTGCTTTGCCTGTAGTTCACGTTACGTCTTTTCAAACCTGATTAAAAGTTAGTCCTTTCGCATCAGAGAATGTAACCTTCCTAAAATAAAATACTCTCCATCACCCACAACAGTTCCTTCCTTTCCAGTTAGCTCATCTTCTCAAATCAGAAGTGTAACTAACCATATTATCCTTGAAAACAAAAAAAATATCCGGATTCCTTTACAGAATTGTCTCTAGAGAAATATCCTGGGGAGGGAAGGGTTGATAAGCTGAACGCTGTCCCAAGAAAAGCCTATTTTTTATCTTTAGCAATAAGATTTGACATTCTTGCGTATCACTACTTTAAAAGCCAGTTTTGTAACTCATGTTTAATACTGATAGTAGAAACCTTTTTGCATTGCCGCTTTCTTGGCTAATAGTGTATCTGGCAAGTTACCTGATAGTTTAGATTTTCCTAGACCACCACAGAGACAAGCATATCCCTCAGATACACAGATCAAACTACATTCTGAGGAGAAATAGAATTTTTGCAACAGACACTATTTGGGGTGTATGCTTATTTGTCATATGGATGTGCAAATCTTCTAAATTGTTTGAACACTGCCAGCAGAGGCTTGACAACACAAGAGTCTTGATCTTTGCACGTTATGTCATGTTAAGGGTATTATTGTGATAAAGTTCTTTGAAAAGCTGAAAACATTTTCTCTGGGTTAATTTTCAGTCAGATCAGTAAGTTGATCCAACTCATCATATCTTGCACAACGGCTGAAGGACAGGGAGCTGCAGCTACAGACTGTAAGTAACCCTTACTGGGCACCAGTACCATCTTTGGTAGACTTGGGGAATTTGACGTCATAACCAACTAACTAGCAGCAAGAATGGTGGTTAATACAAAAGCAAATTCACTAGTTTGAAAACAAGTACAGTGAAATATTTCAGGACTCCACTGGAGATGGTTGTGTGTAGAACCAGTTCCTCCACCAAGGATTTCTAGTTTGAATGGATCAAAGGAAGCACTTTGTCACCACTACAGGTAGAAAATTGAGGCTTGGGATAATTGGCTAAATTACCAAGAGAAAACGTTCAGGTAAAGTCCATATGGAATTCCCATTTCACTCCCTTTCACCAGTTTCTGTAGTATAGTATTTTCCAGAACGGACTAGAAAAATGTAAAAAAGTTTAATGATGATTTACAAATATACAATACTTACATTTTTAGGAGTTACAAAAATGGAACATACTACAGAAACCAAAAGCTTTCTCTAACCTTTGGTACATTTCAAAGTTATTTATTTACAAAGAAAAATCACAGTCACTTTTCATAGTGTCACATGTTTACATATAAGCATTTCTCAGTTGAAAAATATCTTGCAGCTTACCCACAGGCAGTTTTTGCAGTTTGAGCTCTGCACCCATCTATCACATCAAAAATTCTATCAGCCCCTGTTAAGCTGACATGACATTGCATTTTTATGTTTTAACAGCCTTTAGTTTGAAAAATATGTACAACCCATAAGGCTAAACTGATTCATAGTTGTTGAGATTTCACCTGGTGTATTTTATATTGTTCATGGTTTGGTAAAGTGACATAGGCTACCTTTTTTAATTAGCTCGGTAATGCATGTTTAGAAAAAGGTGGTCCAATTTTATTAGCTAGGGTATTTCAAACTCTTCATTAATGGAATTAATAAAAAAAAAAAAAAAAGATAAGATGTCCTTTCCATGATGCTTTCTCACCTTATGAAACTTTTATATTAAGTTCTTCCTTCACTATGTACAAAAATACAAAGGTAACGGAGACAAATTGAGCATGCATTCCAAATCCTGTTCATTTCCATTAGTTTTCCAATGTTGGATGTTTTCTAGATTGTACTTTCTTTAAACCAAAACTTAAAAACTTTCTTCTATCTGAGAGCAAACATTAGTATTTTTTTCAGTCTGTGTATGTATTCAGGAGTCTTCTTATAGATTAAAATACTTGCAGTAAGAGAAATACAACCAAACCATACAGACTGTTTTTGACATCTTCACTTATGTGCGTATACAAATGCTTTCCCCTCTGATGATTTTCAGACTATACAATTTCAACATATAACAGTATGTGAACTCAGCACAATATTCATTGTGCTGAAGGTAGTTTGGCACTACACATTTACAACTGGTAGTTTTTCATTAAGACTAAATACCACCGGAGTATTAGTTATGGTTCAGGTCAAGATTTTTTAAACTGAGAAATAGAAAAAGCTCGCTGTCAGTAGCTGAGAAAAGTGTCTTCCAGCACTACAATATTTCCCTCCCCAAAACTTACTCCATGGACAAAACAAACTCCAAATTCAAGCATCTTTAAGGAATGCCTGCATTCTGGATTTTCTTCGTGCAAGAGCTTCTTGTTTTTTTCTTTCAATTTCTTCTTGAGAACATTTCCTATTTTTTTGTTCCACCACAGACACTGTAAATAAAAAACATTTATTAAGAGCCTTCAAGTTTGTTCAATATGTATTTTAACTTACCTGTTTGAATATCTGTGGCAAGAGCACACTATTCTGACGTACCAGGCACCCAAGTTAAAAATGGCTCATCTATCCTGTCCCCGAGGCAGGAAGGGGGATAAGATGCATGACCTTTGTAGTGCTGCTGATTACTACCTCCCAATGAAAATACTGGGATGCAGACATTTGCTTCGAGGAAATGTTACTTGGTTGCCCTTCAAGTGAACCTTGTGACACCAGGAGTCAACATAGGAGATGGCGATGGGTTAAGAAAATTAAGGCTATCAGAGTGAAAAGGGCTCGACAATTTAGTGAGTTAGGCAGAGATATGGGCATGGAGATGGTATAGACACAGGGGTCAGATACAGTACAGGTGTCACACAAATAAAGCCAGAAAGGTTGAAAAAAGGTCAAAAGTAGCAATAAAAATTGGCAAAGGAGACAAGCACATGATAGCTAAGCGTAATATTTTATATGTTGTGTTATAGAACTATAAATTCCCATACAATAAAATCCTGACCTCCCTGGAACCAAGAGGAACACTCCCCAAACTTGTCAAGAATCTTACTGGTTTTATATGCCAGTTTCCAATTAATGGATTTTTAACAAGTAGTCTTTCAAACTGGATAAATAAAACAAAGGGTCTCTTTGCGTCTTAAAAACAAAGGTCTCCTTGAAAAATTACGTATCAGTTTTGAATTTTTTTGTTACAGCAATGTCCTTCACCCAAAATTTAACACGTGGACAGTTGTTGTTTATCTGTAACGAAAATCTATGCTATTCTTTTTCATTGTTTTTTTCTCTAGGACAGTCCACAGAGCGAGTAGTTATCTTGCCCCTCCCTTCTCCCTTAACATCTGGAACTGCTGCTTTCCATTTATCTGCTTCTTTGCTGGAGAAGAAACACAGATAAAATACTGATTCTTCAAACAATGCTGGCTGATAGTGTACAGGAATTTGGGTTTTTGAAACAGTGCTTCCTGAAAACTGAGGTTGATATAGCACCTTCTAAAGGCACATTTTATCAAAATTAATATTGATTAAAACTTCATCAAGCCGTGAGATCAAGTAAAAACAAGACTGACTGGCACTTGACTGGTTCAACATTTCCCTAGCAAGTAACACCCGTGCATGGAATATTACAGACTGTCACTTGATGATGGAAAAGTGACCGACCTCCTCTCTAGATGAAAGGAAGTCTTAGTGTGTAGACTGATAACACAAGAATATTTCACTGCCAGCTTTAGCCACAGAGCAAACAACAATACATGCCGAGGTTTCAGAAGCATCAAATGATTTGAGGTTCCAATTTCCAGGTGTACAATAATAAAGAAGAAATTGGCATTCAGTTATCACCTGCTGCCTTCTTTCCCTGCCCCACCATTAACTGGGGTTTTATGAACCACGGCTGAGATAAGTAATATTTTTCATAATTAACTGTAAATTAAAGCACAGATTCACCGTGCTGCACTTTTACTACACTACAACATTTACTATGTATCAAAATAGTAGTATTTTTAAGTAACAATTTAAGAGTATGGTATGCCGAGGGCTGCTGTCAGCCTGTACTTGATCCTAGTGATTCCAAGTGTCTGTCGAGAGAGTGTGAAGGATTCAGAGAGGTGAAATGAAAATGGGAAACAGAAGTCTTTAACTACAGGAATTCAAGAGGTGCATGAGGACAATTTTATTTTGGAGAAAATAACCTCCAAATTCTCATTAGAATGTTTACTAATGCCTAAACTGAATGGATGACTATTGAAGCCTATTATAAGTTGCAATACAGTATAAATTTCTCTGACATTCTGATTACAGTAAAAAACCAAACAAAAACAGTCTAACAGTGATACAATGAAGACAAATACCTGATGTAGGCAGTGCAAAAGACTCTGAAAGGTGCCTCTTGAAAGGTGGTTTCTTATTGTCAAGCTTGCTGTGCAAAGTCACATTCACCTGATTCTTGCTTCCTTCCAAACCCTGCAGCGTAATTCCAATGCCAGAATGACTGCCTGGATTTTCAGACGCTACATGAAGAGCACCCTGAAAATTGTTAGTCTTTCGGAACTTAAACTTTGAAGGCATAAATGATGTTTTGTTACTGGAACTGTTACTTGGTATCTTTCCTGTATTACACAAAAGATCCGGGCTGTCTGATGTTTTGCTACTAAAAACGTTTGCTGCATTACTAGGACTTACTTCAGAACCAGTCTCTCCTGCTGGCACAGAATTTGACCTGTACCACTTTCCCCAAACAGTCTTTGTAGTATCTTCAGACGCAGCTTGATGACAGTTTTTAGACAGTGCGTATTTGCACTCAATAGAAGTACCTGAGATCACAGTCAGAGGACTTGAGCTGTTTTTACAGTTCGCTACGTGACCTGTTGCGGATAGCCCATGTGTAACCTTTGATGAATTCCTACAGGAGTCGTTCAGTGAGAGTCCCTCCGGTTTTGCATTTGGTTTTTGTACCAAGAGGTGATCAGGTAGTCCTTGTTTAGATGATGGGAAGCTGTTATCAGCATTTGATCTGGAATTAATACTGGCTCCTTGTATAGTTTTAGCTCTTTCATTTCCTTGTTTAACATCCTGGCTCTGAGTCTGCTTTTCTATATCGTCACACACCTGATATAACAATTCATCATCCTCACAGTTTGCATCCCAGAGACTACCGGATTCACAAAACATATCTAATATCTCATCAGAGAATTTCGGTTCATTCCAGTCATCAAATGACAGAGGACATTTCTTTGGTATTTCAACTTGATTTAAGTGACCTGTATTAGCTTGGTTAACCATTTTAGTTAGATCACTAGGTTTCGTATTGGTAGAAACACTGGATGATTGACAGAAAATATTGTGTGTGTTATTCCCAGGTTTTTCGGTCCGTTGTCTATGAAGATTAGATCTTGAAGGAAAAAGAGGATCGCTTTTAGGCTGAATAGTTTCATTTCCATTCTTAACTTGAGATTGCGTTGAAACAGGAATGTAGTTCATATCACTGTTTTGGGCACTTTTCCAAGTAGAATTAATTTTACCTGGCTTAACGTCACATTTGCCATGAAAGGCTATGGTATCTGTCTTTGAGTTTTCCGTCTTATTGTATGGCTTTTGTAAAGAGAGAGATTTTGCAACATTCTGTGTGTTTTTACTAGAATGTTTCAAAGGTGAAAACTGCAAAGTGTTAGATTTGTGTACGCTCCCCAAACAAGTTACTGAATTGCAACCGCTTTCCTTCGTTCTGCTAGCATCACTGAAACCACGCACAGATGGATTTGTAGGAATTGGTGGTGCTTCTTCGGTACTTATCAATTCAGGATTTTGGGTTATTTGCATCACAAAAGAGTCATCTGCCAAAAAATCTGTATCCCAGTCATCAAAATCATCATTAACTACTCCAGCAAGCTTACTGGGGACCACCAATTGTGTCTTCAAAGAACAAGGATTTTTCTTGGTCAACATGCGAGTATCAGGTTTTGGAATGCTTCCTAGTACACACGGAGTATCTTTTTGATACGCCTCTGAATTAACACGTTGCACGTCTTTAATTTGCTCAGGAAGGTGTTCCTCTTCCAAGGTGCTTTTATTTTCATGGAAACTATTATTTAAAGAAATACTTGATAGTCCTTGGCTCAACTGTCCGCTACACTTCTGGGTAGAGCAGTCAAAAAGAGCATGAAGGGCTAGTTCAGCCTCAAGGTCTACAGACTTTTGACTGCTGGACTGACAGGGCTCTGCAGCAGGGATGCCAGTGCTCTGTCCAACTGGTTTGAGAGACAGAGCAGTGTCTGTTTCAGCAACTTCACCAAGGAGTGATTTCAGATTCTTCGTATTTATTTCATCTTTAGAATTATTTAAAGACTCAGAGGCAGTCTGGATGAAGTCATGACCAAACTTTTCTTGCTCCTGAACAGCATCCAGCTCTACTAGATTTTTATCAAATTCCTTAGCCAATTTCATGAGTTCCTCTTCAGGATTTTTTATTTTAAGATCTCTAGATTAAAAAAACAAAACAAAACAAAAACCGAAAAGAAAGTCAGACCTACTGAGAAAGTTTCGCCACGCTCAGTAACACGACCGTATGAATGTTCATTCTATAGTTTAACAACTACAGAGGATACGACCGAATCCCACCGCTTTTAATGCGCAGTCAGCATGCAATCTTTTTGATAATTCCCAATAAATACCCCATTAAGGAGAGATAACAAGCCCAAAGTTAAAAGCATTCTGTATGCTAATGTACAATAACATGGCTCACTGTACATAAAGGAACACCACGTGCCCTTTTTCATGAAAGCCCAGCTGTTTCGGGCAAGACAAAACTCTAACTTACCTCGTACAACTTAACTTTGTCCTGGCTCGCGCTTTTACTACTCCAGGTGTGCAGGGAATAGCATCCTCGCCAATCCACGTCCCTAAAAGGGAGCCTTCGTTACAGGCTGCTTTTTCATCCTGAATGATTAGATTTGTAATGCTTAGCAATTTGATGTCAGATAAAGATTGGACTAGATGCACACCTTGCATTAGTTAAAGTTGCTAAACCTATTAAACTGGATCAGATCTGTTGAAAGCCACAGACAGGAGCTAAACCAATACAAGCTAAGCGAGATTACTGCAACGTTTTCTACTGATAGTTGTACCACTTAAATTATATCAATTTAGAACAGGAACTTCAATTAAAATAACTGAATTTTACTTTGGTGCTCGAATCTAATACTCTGTTTACTTCAGGATTACACATAATCTGCAATATTCATGTTACAAGCTGTGATCTAGTTTACTTTAGTGTACTGCTAAGGAGCTAGTTGAGATGCACTGTCTTTATCCATTTAAAGCAGCATGAACACATCAGAGAATCTGAAAGAAATCATATTCTGTATGCTTCCAGGAAAAAAATCTGACTTCTTCCATGACAAGTCATTTATACAAGGAGCCTTTAAACAGAAATAAGTGAAGTTTGTTCCAGAGCTTCAAAGTTTAGGCTTAGATTTGAATTCTGAAATTGAAGAGATACAACACCGCAGTGGTAAAATATGTAGAGGGCCAGAGCCAAATGTTGCATGTGAGAAATCATCGCACACAAGCCAGCAAAAATAATTTAATCTTTACTAACTGGGTAGTTTTGGGTAGGTTTTCTTTAGTTTTTTGTTTGGGTTTTTTTTACTAAAAAAGAACACAAGCAACAGATAATATCAGACTGGATTTGCAACTATTTACATTTATGACAGGGCTGTAATCATATAAAAGGTAGAAAGCACCATCACTTATCAATGATTTTCCAATTCTTAAGTATAATTTTTCACAAATACGCCAAACAGTGAATACATTTTAGATGACCCTGTCAAATAAGCAGGCATATTTTGCAAGCTAAATACTGCAGAACTAGTTTAGGAATAATAGGTTCTCTTCTTGCACTTAGTAAAAGGCAAGCAATAAGCCAACACTATCTTATTTTCACTTTCCAGGCTGTGGACATCAGGTTTACAGCAAGAGAGGGAAACCAAGAGCATGGATCTTAAGGTAAAAAGGCAATTATTTAGAATAAGGAAGCAACGTTACTATGTTTATTTTATTATGGAGTCTCTCTCGCATCTGAGTCTTGTTCACTTCAGCAGTCATTCCAGATCATTCAAAATGCTTAAAAACAACTGCCAGTTAAATCCAGTATGTGAAGAAACTCTTAACTTTTAACAGATGAGTGATTAAGGATAAATAAACACAACAGTACTCATAAGACAGGGGCAATAACTTGTATTCTGAGAGTAAAACTTTCTAAAATGCAAGTCCAATTTCTTAACACATCCTTTTTTACAGCTGATGTCACTCATAAGAGCACCCTGTCAAATGCTATGCTTATGATTTTAATTCATTCCAGTTCTATGAACATGTTACTAGTCTTCTGCATACCCAATTCTTACCGTGTTAAAGAGACTACTGTAACTAAAATTGAGCCTTCACTAAAACTGAATACTGTAGCACTATTCTGTTTGATGACTGCATATACAGAGCATAAAAAGTAACAATTACCTGAGGAGCAATACGATTAACAATTTCTGAAATTTCTACTGCGCATCTAGTGGTAGACTGTTTGGGTTTTCCATTGCCTATGAAAAGAAAAAAAAAACACCTTAAAAACTGCGAAACAATTCAATTTATAAAGTGCAGTACATCTCAAATAATTCAAATATATATGCTAAAATCAGAACTTGAATCAGCACTATGTTGAAGAATTTAAGAGTTTTTAACAAACATAAAACCAAACAACCACGATAACAGAAAGGGGACTTTTTTTTTCAAGAGATATGGTAACTTTTCATACGCTCCCACTGCATGCCTCAAATAGGCACCCTGAAATCTGGATTTCGTTAGTATTACCTAGTCTGTGTGCAATTGGTGAATGAGGATCCCAAAAGATTTCTTGCTGTACATCGGTGTCATTAACAGGAGAGCTGAAAGTAGGTATTCGGGATTTCCTACTCAGCGATCTCTTTGGTGTTTTATGTAAACATGGCTCTGTGGAAACAGAAAGATGATTGATCCTTAATAAAAAATAACACATAAATGGCTACAATAACTTAGAACATACAACAAGACAAGGCATAAACAAGATGTTTTAGGAACTTCGAGTTCACTCATCAACATTCCTTTACTTACAACAGGAGTATTCTTCACAACTATGCACTTAATGCAGAACATGACTATTTTTGTCAGTTACATCACCACAGAGATAGCAGAGCATTCTGTCATACTGACAGCTATACACTCAGCATCTGATGGTCAGGATGAGAACCGTCAATCCTCCTACTTGACGGAATACTGACTTCAGCTTACATCAAGAGAAAAACTACGTATACCTATATGGGAGAATATTTTGTATTCTGGCTTGCTCTGTGTCTTTCACCCAGACTCTGATTTGGGTCACAACTGTAATGGGCCCTCAAACGGTTCTGGGTCTGTACTTCCCTCCACTGGGCCTTTTCAGTTAGGACTGTTAAAAGTGGGAATGTAGCTATTCAAAACCGGCTTACAGCTGTCTCAGATCAGCAAGTGAACTGAACACGCTAGGTGAAGCTCAGCTGGTCACCCCTGCCCTTTAGAAATGACGCTGCAGATGTGGAAGCCTACAAAAATAAGTTTAAAAGATGCAATTACTACGTGAGAAGCATCTTAGGAGATACTTTGCACTGAAGCGCTTAGCGCAGCCAGGCTTTATCCTCTCCTCGAGTGGATTAGCGTCTCCAGTCGGTTCTAAGCACCTGCCGGGGGAAGATGCTCTTCCTCGCTACTTGACAAGAGGTGCCCCTTCCTGACGCGCAGGGCCGGGGCAGCGCGGGGGCGGGGGGGCTGGTGTTACACCGCACCGGCCCCCTCCTCACAGGCAGGCCGCGCCTCCCCCTCCGCTCCA